AGAGAGAGAGAGAGAGAGAGAGAGAGAATAAATACTTAATTATTTTTCTCCAGCAAGTGGCACGTTCAGAGGTAATCGGTACGTCAAGGGAAACGACTATGCAGTGGTGCTGCTCTATGACGTCAAAGGTTACATCGCAGGCATCCAAGCCTCTGTAAGTTTTTAAAAGAATTTTTCACTCGCTATATATACAGAGATGGTCGTTTCCTGGTGGCAGCACAGGAGTCTCAAAAGTTGAGACTCTGGCCAGGATTCTTATATCTTTGATGACGACCAGTTTGTATGACGATCACAGAAGACCACTCAAACACGAGAGTTAATAATTGTAAGCATATTATGTCTCCTTACGGGCGATGCGACGGGGAAGGACTCTAACAATTTTGATGACGAAGGGTCATTTTATCATTAAACCAAATTTCCATATTATTATTAGCACCCACCCCTCCACCCCCTCACTCCAAAAAGGAAAAAAGGCAGTATACCTCAAAGCCAACCCTATGTGAGCTTGCGTGTGTGCGTGCCTGCCTGCCTGCGTGCCTCATGTTGACGATGAGCTAGGGCATTCGCGACCAGAGTGAATTCACACACACACACACACACACACACACAGTCACACGTGAGCAGGCGGTCCATCCGACCCCGACACATGCCAACAACACATGAGTTGGTATGAAAGAAGGCCGCTGATTTGTCGCATGCAATCGGCTAAGTGAATAATGGTTCACGATGCAGATGCAATGGATGGTTTCCGAGAATAGATACAGTTCGCTGTGGGAGAAAGATGAGTGAAGCCCCTTCTGCAGGGGTTGTTCACCCTGGAAGCGACCTCATAGAATCCGAGCTAGCTGATTTAAGTTTAAGTGTTCGTTGAATATATCCGCGTTATTTTTATTGATTTTAAAGAAGAAAAAAGAAATTGGGGAATCCATCTCCTTTCGTTGAATCCGAGCTCCACTGTATATGATAAGACAATTTACTTCTATAAAAAATGCTCTCTACAAGATATTGTAGCGTCGGTAGTCTTGTAGATAGGTTATTGGATTCGTAATCATGAGAATGTGGCTTCGAGGGTTCGAGTCTCAGGCCCAAATTTGTGTCTTTGAGAAAGGCACTTTATGCAAAATTTCCTAACTTGACCCAGGTGGGAATGGGTACCTTGTCATGGATAGCAAAAGATCTTGTCTGTATGTTAGCGCTATAGCGCCTATAAAATGGCAGCCTGAACTGTATGCTTCCCAGGAAATTGAGATTGTTTCAGAACGCTATTTATTAGTTAGTTCTGCTGGGGTAATTAGATTGTAAAGCGCTTGATCTATTATTATTAACCCTTTGAGCCCTGACGTCCTGAGGTTATGATGCCCCTCTGCCTGAGCTCCTGAGCGATTCACGGCTTCATTCATATCTTCGTCAGAATCACATTCTATATCACGCTCGGGGCAGTCCTCATCATTACCGGCATCTAATTCAGAAAGATCTTCTAAATATAATCAATAATGTCCTGTTTTCTGTGAGCATTTTGTTTCAGGTGGGCTACTGGGGGATAGGGTCTCACTCAAAGGAGTGCCGGTGGTTAGCCATAAAAGGGAAATTTTACGTGCCACCGGTGTATCAGTGTCTGAGGATCAAAGGGTTAAGATATATTGCCCCTGGCACTGATGAAGATTCATGTATTATTTTGTACCTCAAACACAGGACAAAATACACCACTCTCCAAATTTAGTTTAACACTGTTGTTACTGAGGACATTTTCCCTACTATATATATATCTCAATCAGATCAGTGATCCTTCTACTTCTAGTGTTCATTCTTTGATCAAAATCATCAAAAGATTAAAAGGTAAGCAAACAACAAGTTTTTCAATTCACATGAAATTTGCTGACATTCAGAAATAAACATAAAAAAGCAAAGAACAATGCTTGTATTATATTAACAACATGAATCTATTTACAATGAGATGATAAAAGTCATGATAAAAACTTATATAAACACTTCTGTTCCTTGTGTTGCATCCACAAGTCAGTACATTCATCTAAATGTAATCCATAAATTGCAGTTGGATAAACACTCTGTCCATCTTGTACGTAAAGCTACGAGTTCTCGCTGCCAGTCGCGATTTGTACAAAGACAAAGGAAACTCGCACTGATGACCACATGGAGACAGGAACATCTCCACGTAACACACCTTCCAGGACATGCCACACACAGGTGAAGTGATAAGAACACATTCACAGTCACTGGATACGACGATGATCCACTTTCTCCAGAGAAACCAGTCTGTGAAAAAACGTTAAGGTACGAAAAACAAGGAGGAAAGTTTGTTGGTTTATTGCATCATGAGCTGATGGATATGACTTAGAATAAAAAAAACAAACTCAAAATTCCAAATAAATCTTCAAATATAAGAAAACAACAATAGAATATATAAAAAGTAAATGGTGACTAGTATAATTCAACCCCAAGACCTCAGCATTTAGAGTCGTATGCACCACTCTTTCAAATCAACTGCGGCCCCTTTGCCAGAACAAGGAGTCACAATCAATAACTCCTCAGTATAAACAGATGATGACAGCAACAAACAGAAAAAACTACATACAATCTTTAAACCAAAGATCTGCAATGTAGTATGAGATCGCCAAACTTTCCTTTTCTTTTCTATCATAACATTAATCCTCTCATAAAAAGAACAAACACAAATTTATAAACAAACAGAACAAATTTCAAACATTCCGTTAACACATTACACCCTAAAGGTCTGGACGGGAAGCCCATTGTTAGATCCTAAGCAAGGGGAAGGAACCCACCTCCCGTGAATACAAGCCTTTAAAAAACGCATTAAAAAAATACTTAACAAATTCCAAAAATCCTGAAAAAAAAGTTAAAACGAATAATGAAAGTAGTTTCCGAAAAATATAACTTTATGTAAGCGCAAACTGTTGGAAATGTTCTAACTTTAGTTCAGTCGGGGTGTCCGACCCGTCACTCTCACTCTCAGCCTCGCGGTCGGGCCCTAGATCTAAATTCTAGATTTTCTACGTCTTATCAATCTGAATCGCCCCAAACTCTTGCTACAACGTTTTCATCAAAATCTGAGTCATCTGATTTGTCATATATGCTTGCATTTGCTCAAATCCATCGTTATTTCCTTTTTCGAACTCAATTTAGGTACCACAAACTGAAATTTCAAAGTCCTCTGATTTCATAGTCAACTGTACCACCTTATAGAATTTATTATTCTGAGCATTTTGATACCAAATTTACACATATAGCTTCATTTTTAACAAAGTTATGAACATCTGAAGTTGCAGAACAACGTTATATTTTTTAAACTGCGAAATGTCTGCACTTTGAGAAGTCACAACATTCTTAAATTTGAACGGACATTCATAAAAACTTGTAAACACACACCCACATAGAGAACGAGCCCAATTTTTTTACAGGGCTATCAAATAACCAGAAGATGGAAATTTATAGACGCAAACATGGCTTTTTGACCAAAATGGCAAGAAATACAAGGGGAGGTTAAAATCCCCACTCGCGACCACGGGCCTATCGGCTGCACGCCGGGCCGTGTTGATGGGAAGGAGAGAGAATTTATACGAAACCGGGGCGATGGTGCCCTGCTTGCGAGCTGACAGGGAGCGTCCAGTACTTATTTGCGTATAAAGGCTGCGTTATTCTTGAAGAGGAATGAATGGGCTTTCTGCCGATATATTTCCGTAGTCAGTCTGATCACTGGTTCCCTAAAAAAACAGCATCGAAAGTTTTCACACGCAAATCTCTTCTATTAATTCTTTAAGGACAGTTTTTAGAAATATATCACCGGAAAGAGCGTTTTCTCATCTTGAAATATCGACGAATCAGATTGCAGTATTTAATATCATACACTCCCCGTTCCTGTTCAACCGAGGTCACTCTAAAAATCAATACATGAAACGCGCGGCCGCGACAGTGAAAACCTTGATAGTGTTGTCTTTTATTCCGGAAGATTTTACTTTCAAAAGAATTGTTGATTAAAATAAATAATACCACTAAAAAGAGGAAAAGCTCCTCTTTCTTCTGATATTTCATGTGTCTGAAGGTGTGCATGATCACACCGAGTCTTAGGAGGAAAAAATATATGGGTTTTGGTCTCCGAGACAGTGCGCCACGGGGGTGCAAGGCCAGTTTGCGGTACCTACTCAATTGTGTTGCTTTTCAACAAGTCGAGACACCTACAAAGTGTCGGTAACGCGACTGCACTTCTGTCGGCTCTAATACTAAAAGCACTGGCCCGAAAAATTTCGTTTCGGTATCAAATGAAAGAAGAAACATTTTGCAATAACTATGCAAATCAAAATCTCGGCCCCAGAGTCTCGTCAAGGCGAGACTTCGTTTCTAAAGATGTTAGGTTGGTGTGGGCGATTCCGGGCGAGTCAGTTGGAGCGCGTAAGGGAATTCCCGGGCGGTCCCGGGCGAGTTAGGGTGTAATGTGTTAAAAATCCCATTCGGTTAATTAAAAAAAAGAAAACAGAAGTAAATTCTGTACTAGTCTACAGGGCGGTGTAACTTTTTTTTATTGAATAGACTAAAATTTCAGAAACTACACTATACATGTACTCCTTTGGAGTGTTAATAGAACCAACCAACGTATAGTTGGACAAAAGGATACGGTTTGAGCTGCTCCGCAAAGTTCTTCATGTCGTCTCCTATCTGCTCCTGGCCCAGTGGCGCCACCACGCTCAGCTCCACCAAGTGAGACGAGCCCAGAGGTTCCAGGTTCGACTGATCTGTTTTTCCTGGTTGCTGAAGCTGACAAAATGAGAACACATAAAATTGCTTCTATAAATGATTGTGCTAAAAATGTCTCTTGCATCATTTAAAAACGAGATGCATGCAACTCTGGAGCCATGTTGAATAAAGACTATCATTTCAATGCCCTTTCAGATAGCAGGCAAAACAGAAGCACATCGTATGATAACAGCTATTAAATGCACATGAGATAAAAATAAAAAGAGACAACAGAGCAAAAGAACAGAAGATGGACCAAAGAGAAGAATTCTCCAACCACCCAGGTTAAAAAATACTTGAGTACAGCATCAAAGACATTTCAGTTTCAAGACGAAAGAGAAAGAATTGGCGTCAATGACAAAATGGAACACATGAAGTTGATGAAATGATGCAAGACAATGTGACATTCAGTGTCATAGTACTGAACTTATTCTTACACTAGTACTAGTACTCACTGCCATTTGGACTTTCTATCTTGCATTGACCTAATTTGCCATGTGTGTCACTACTAAAAGGCTTAAAATAGAGATCAATAGAGCAGAGACACATTTAAAATCCTCCTCCTAAGCCTAACCCTGCTGCAAACACAACCACTACAAATTCTACAGCTGTTTATCCCACAACTCAGTATCACAACCTAATGAGGCGATTTCCTAATCTTTTCTTTCAACTTAGAAAATTAACCAAATGAGCAGCTACAGAACAGAGACAAACTAGCTTCCTCTAACAACTCACAGCCTCTTTTTAAACCACCAGTATTTTTTGTTTGTTTTTGGTACAGTTCTATCAAGAACTAAATCAATCATGTCTTTAACATAACATTCTTGAGTGGGCCTACTTTTCTTCCAGGACTTGAGTTGTATTTCTAAAAATAATTCCACTGACTCAACAGACAAAAAATCACAGCCAACAGCCCAAACCACAAACAACAGGGCACATAAGGTCAAGCAGAGATCACAATTTGTTAGGGAAATTTTTGTCAAAGAAATTTTCACTCTTGGTCTTACTTTCCATCATTTACTCTAATTCCAAATATAAAACACTTCACCATTACTTTGCTAACTCTTTCAGACTAACGATTTTTCAGAGTACATTTAGTGGAGAAAAAAAAGGCTACGGTGTGTCTGTGCCAAGGTGCAGTAAGAATTTAAAATAAAATATATACTTGTAGACGGCCACTTGTATAAAACGATCACCTGTACAAACAGCTACTTCCCATTTTCCTCTTGCAATTTTCTTTTTTACATTACAATGACACTGTGTAAGGTGGCCACCTGTCTAAGACAGCCACTTTTCTCCTCGACAATGGGTGACAGTCTTGAAGCTTTGTTCCCACTTACCTTGAAGATTTTGTAGACGGTGACTTTCATACGACCTTTGTGGAAAAAGAAACCTTGGGCGACATAATCATGGTCTAACCTGCAGATGCAACAAACAAGATTAAAAAACAATCAGAGTCACAAAGAATGTTATCAGATTATTGCTGGAAAAACATTTCCAAGAGGAGCCATACAAAAATTTCTCATCACAGCCTTCTTTTGCAAAGTACTGGAGACCCATTTTCACTTGAAAGTCACTCCTAACTTCTCATCATACCAGACCTTTAGAAAATTTCCGATTCTTACATTATTGATAAAAAGTACCGGGAATTCATTTTAAAGAGGATGCAAAATCAAACTGCTAATCACAGGTAACAACAGAAAAGGGGATAAAAATACTGCCGTAAGCTGACAAAATGCCTTTTTAAAAATATTCACAGCAGTTTCCAGAAGAGGCCTTTTGTCAGCATAACCGTTTAAAAGTGTTCTTCCGAAATTTGAATTCTAATTTATGAAAAAACTAGATCTAGTCATAGTATCACTTTAATTCTTTCACAGAAGTAGGGTAACTGATCAGGCTTTCCATTTAGCAAATAAAAAAATTTGGCTGCAAAAATTAAAAAAGGCATTTTGTCAGCTTATGGCATAATATTTTTTATTTCAAAACATACCGGAAGCCCATTTCCATGAGGAAATCACGAACATTGGGAGAACATGCAACGTCTAGACAAGCCCGAACCAGGGTGTGACGTCCTCTGTCTCCGACCTCAGCTTGACCCAAGTAGCGGATGTGGCTGAGGGAGATTCATCAAACTAATAGGGTACCGGTACAAAATCACTTCCACGGAAAAACTGAATAAACGTGTGTGTGCCTAAAGAAAGGTACCAAAAATCGGATTTTGACCATTTTGAGTTAAGGGTTGAATCTAAAAGGAAATTCAATGCGGTACACAATGGGTTTTTTTTACTTGTTTAGATTATATCTCAAGTAGTGTTTGAGATATTGCACATTATGTGAGGTAGGGTATAGAAATATAATTTTGAGAAAAAGAGCTTTTAGGTTTAACAAACGTGAGAACACATACAAACTTTTTAAAAATCAATTTTTAAAACGTAGTTATTCAAGGAAAATTCATTTCCAATATAATGGCATTCAGTTTATAACGATATCATGAATGGAATTCAACGGTAAAACTTAGCAGGGAAGAGAAAACGAGCTTCAACAAAAGATTTTAACACCTTTTAAAAGCAGTTCTCATTATTTGTTTTTATTATACCCTTCCCTCAAAATAATTCAAAATAAAATATTTAGAAGTTAAATCAATGAAAACCCTTAGACTTAGAGCACACAGTAAAAAAATGTTGGATCTATCTTTTTTTATAAGAAACACATTTTGGTCAAAAAAGTGATTTTTGTCATTATCAGCCTGTAGCTCGAAACAGTCAGGGGTGACTTTTGGTACCTTTCTCTAGGCGCACACACAAATGTCTTCTGTCAATTTGCATGGTCTAAGGTAATCAATGGTATGTGTGAGTGCATGCATGACTGTGTGTATGCGCGCGTTCAGGTGGGAGTGTGTGGGAGTGTTGTCTGAAGGTGCGAAAAGTATATGCCTGCATAAACATGTGTATATGTAGGCCTACATGTATGTGTATGTCAGCAGTGCCCACTTGCAAACGTGAGGAAGAGTGAATGATTGAGAATATTTGTGAACATGTATAGGTGGGATTATGTGCAAGGGCTGGTGTGTTGCATGAATATGTAATTGCAGACAAGCCTCTTGCTGGCACCTACACTTGGGATAGAGTGCATGAGCAGGCCGCTGCCATGGAAACAATGCAATCGTGGGAAAATGAACACTAATATTAGAATTTGTGTTCCCAAATGTTTGTGTAAAAAAAATACAAGTGAAGAGAGGGAAGAGAGAGACTGTTTGGTTGAATCAATCCTGTATAAAGAGATACTATATCAAGAGTAACAGCTGCATAACTTCTTTAGTAATTTTCCCTTTGGAAAATAGCACTATATGAAGGTATGATGCAAGAGAGATTCTAAGCGGTCTTTTCAGACCAAAACCCTCCCCAAAACTTCACCTATTTTCAGACTTACACAGTTTGCAACTGTTACTGTCAATGAGACATAATTGATTAATTTATCATGTATTAATTAATTAAACAAAGATGAGAAGGCTTGTAAAAATTCCAGACAAGAAAAACACCAGTCATTAATCCTGCCAATTTTCTCTTCTTCTTTTTGATCCCCTCTTTTCCTATCACAAACACATTCATCATCCGTGCCCTCAACCTTCAATATATCAGACAGTGCCCCCCCCCCCCCTCCCCTATTTTCTCAACCTTATAGTTTCAAGTGTTCTTGTAGGTGTCTTTCTCCTTCCAGTTTCGTTCACCTAGGTGCTTTCACTCAAGTTGCATGTCATCACATATTCAACCCCATACGTCAGGAGTATCCATTATCAGTAGTCGAGTCTCAGAAAATTATTATTCACGCTCCTGAAGTTTATGTCGCACCATGGTCTGACGTAAAGCGCTGAACTGTAATTGTTTGTTGGTATAAGAGACAACAATCAGAACAAATAACACCCTCCCCCCCACAAATGTTTTTTCTACACATTCGAAAGAAAAGCTTTGCTTTTTAGATAATTTTTCTCTTCTTTTCCCATCTTCTGCCTTTGAATTTTGCTGGTGCTACCCCCAACCTTTTCCTACTCATTCTGATCTATTCCTTTCTATTTCGTTCCTTTTCTTTTCTTGGACCTCCCTACTTGTCTCGCCCTGCGTTACTTCTGTTGTTTCTGCTGCTGCTGCAGTTACTGTTCGCACGTGTCCTTCCCATTCTGTTCATCTTTTTTCTAATGTCTCCTTTCTCATCTTCCTTCCTCTAACGAGTATCTGAACCACTATGTAACAAGGATATATCTTTTTTCCTCTTGGCAAGTACAAGTTATCGTCTGTTTTGATCATTCCTTCTCATGGTTCCTGATAACATGCTTTCGTTTTGGACATGTTTTGTTGCTTTTGTGGTTGTTAGATGGCTCTAATTCTCAAAATCCCCTTTTCCGACACCGCACAGAGCGAATCCCACCAGTCCGGAAGAAACAATATGAAAGTGTGTCAGTTGAGGCAGATCATGACTGCATCCCGTCTTGTACTCCCATACTGGATAAATGATCATTATTGATGTGATCCCTGGTTTCTCTCGTCAAGTCATGCCACGAACGCACACGCTGAGAGCTATGTAGTTCTAGATTATTAACTCCAAGTTCCAGCGTTTGGGAGTTATGTCATAGCAGCTGTTGATGTACATTGTATACTGAAGCCAGGAACATTACATACAGTGACAAAACGCAGCTGATAAAAAGCTGTATATTCTGTGCCTTATCAACAGGTGACCGCCATATCGGACAAGTCACAGATAACAAGACTGTTTGAAAATCTTCCAATGAGCCCAAAGTATTACGTTAATGCCTGCGTTCCATAGAATTTCATTTGCATTATGTACTATGTTCTGTTTTGCGACGGGAATTCAACTTTTTTTTTACAGTGATTTTGGCCCAAAAAGGAAAAATAGATTTAATCAAAGAAAGCATTCAGCTCGCGAATAATTTGTTCAGTAGCTATGTTCTCCACCATAAATGGTTAAACAGAGACAAAAGGGGTAAATTACGGGCATATGATTATTCAAATCTTATGGTACCTTGTCAATGACTATTGATCATGTGAGACTTCTCTCCTTAAACTAGTTAAACGTTGCCTAGTTGAGTTATTATAAGAGAGCCTCGGTGATCTGTCTTGTTTTCAGGACAAAGTATCATCAGGGCACTCGTCTCGTACGCAGAAGATTCCGGATTCGACCAGGCAGAAAAATATCACATTTTGTTTTAGAATAGAAAAATAAACATGCTTTTGGTGGTGGGGCTGGGATTCAAGGCAAAGATTCAAACACATTCAAATGACACAAACGGACAGTTTTGCAGGAACTGAAAAGACAGTGTACTTTCGAAGCTCAAAAAACATCATACATTTTGTGTCTCGTGTTTTTATTTCTGAAAGATGCAATGAAATCAGTGTATAATTATATCAAAATCTGCAAAGGCTGCCATTTCTCTGCGTTTTGTAGAGAAGCAGAATACACAGGTCGGTCAACAGAAGTTGAGATAATATTTGTCAGTGAGGTAGATGTGCATAGTAGACAGGTTTTTCACGGACTTCAGACACGTTGGGACAGTTTGCATGAACCCCTGTAAAAAGAACATGAAACAGCATGAAGCATGTTACCAAGAAGCCTTTCCTGTAAGTACAGACAGAACTTTGTCAAGAGGGCTCATGACAACCAATGATGAAGAGGCCTTAAGAGGCTCGACAAACGATTTCCACTCGCCCTCAAAGTAACAATAAAAGAGTTACGGGGTGAATGATTATTTCAAAATGTTAGCAGTGCAATCATATCTTTTTTTTTAAGCTGGTTATTTTTTTCTGTACTTTTCTGGGTTTTAAGGCTTAAAATTGTAACAATTCTTTGGCTAGTCTGCAGCTGTCGTAGGACATGCCTGTCTGGCCCTTATCTCGTATTCACCTGAGTTCACTTTATCTCTTTAAAAAAAACGGACTATGTCCTCCAATAGTACACTTTTCGTATCTGTGGCTCTATTTTGGAGCAGGACATGCAGTTAGTGGACAGCTTCCACTACAGAACCCTTTTTAAAATAAACCCAACATGATAAGATGTTTAGGACAATCATCCCATGATAATGATCTAGAAGGGTTGTTGGAAGCACGTGTTGCTTGATTTACAGATTCCCTCTGCGCATCACAATCTTAACAGAATTTCACGAAGACATAGAGAATCATCTGTGTTCTATTTCCACAGTCTCTTCGTCAATCCCCCACCCCTATCGCTCCATATGGGGCGTAAGCCACCCCCCCCCTCTTCATAGCCTCCTACGTCTGTTACACCATCCCCTACCCCTCCTACTATGCAGAACCTTCTTACTATTACTACGGAGAATGACACCACCAGCATCCTTCCCTGTCTCCCCCACGGGTGAACAGAGTTTGTCACTCCACTCCTAAATTCCCACAACAAGCTGCTGTACAGTCGAGGGCAGCAGCTACGCAAATCCTCTGCCAAGCCCACAAGGAAGCACCGCCTATCGAAGCCGGGGTCTTTGTGCCCCCCTAC